CCTACTGAAAACCATTACCTTCACTTACAGAAACAATTAATTTTTCCACATCAGATATACTGCAAATATTACGTCATATTTTTTTAATGTATGGCCTCTTGATTACAATATTGTGAGTTGTTTTACTCCGGATATTAATTCATAATAATAATTAGTCCTAATTAAATATGTACTATTCACATTTTTTTTTCATGCAATTTCTAAGTTTTTTTCAAGCATTTCCATTCCATTTTAAATAATTTAATCTAAACATCGTACAAACTTTTATAGAGAACACTATATTAACACTACAGTATACACAACTGCACTGTACTTCAATAACAAATAGTAATAACAACCCACTTGTTACGCACTATGATTGTGATAATGTAATTGTACAACACTTTAAAAGGTAAAACTGATTTACAGACAAGCTGATAAGCCGATAATTTTGTTGATGAAAATATAATCTGGAAACGACGATAATTTACTAGACAATATCGAGAGTTCAGAGTTTCGTAACAAAAAGGTTAGTTACAAAAATTTGGAATTCCATCAAAAAAAGTGTACAATCATGGGCGCCCATTGGGGAGGGGGCAAGACAGGGCACTTTAAAGTTAACACCACTACTCGCACAAAAGCACACCAACTATTATGTGCGACATCAGCATCGTATGGCAATTTTATTTATTTATTTATTTATTCATATGGCAATTATTCCGTTCAGAATCTAATATAACATGCATGTATACATTTATATGTGAAAAATAACATTAAATCTTTATTATTTTACATTCGAAATTGTTTTTATTTTGACCCCCCCCCCCCTAAAATGTTACCTATAGGTACAATGGTACAAATTACTCATGTGCACAATAGTTTCATAATATTATTCTATTATTATTTATTTATTACTTAATATTTATAAGAAGTAGTATACTACGCTCGCGGCAGACAATATACTAAATTTAATGTAAAATTCATATTTATCTGTACCAATCTAACTTTCTTCAATTTTTAATAAAAATTTAATCAAATGATAATATTTTCGTTTATAATTCAAGACAAAATTCCCAATTTAATACGGGTAAAGTTTGCTTGGACTGGTCAGTGGTCCGAGTATAACCCTGCCCGGACAAAATAGTATTTTAATGCATCGGCCAAAAACAACGAGCTAATGAATGATATTTCCCGACAGCCTATACATTTCCAGTAACAAACGACATATCAGATACCAGCGATGGTCTGCTATATAATACCATTATAGTATTTATAATCAATGATATTATGATCAATTATTATTGATTGTATGATGTTATTATTAATATTTTTATTCTTTCTATTCTCGGTCTGCTCTCTTTCTTCAAACCAGAACATTTTTCACCGCCTCATATTATATATTTTTATTATTGTAGTTTGATTAGGTATAATTTAGAATATTGTATAATAAATAATAATATAATTGATTAGAACTGACCTACATTAAAACAACTATTGTATAGTTCAATTTGAATACCTCATTATAGTTACCATAATATTGGATTAATGACTTCATACTTGACCTGCATATTATTATCGTTACTCGTTTAAAGAACATTTATATTTTAAAATTATATAGTGCACCACATATAAATGTGAGCATAAATCTCGCACCACATACACATTATAATAATACTTTAATATCCTTGATATTTTAGCCATATATTCAGTTTATTATTGTACAAGTAATATTATGCGTGCGTATCGTTTTAAAGAAAACACCGTGGACGAAAACGTGTTTACATTCTTGTGGGCAACTGAAGGTTGAAAATTAACTGTCAACAAAGTTTCACGTTGTCCCAAATGGTAGTGTAACATGACATAAATGTTAGATTTGTGTTTGCACAGTTGAATTTATACAGAACGCTCTGTGTGTATTTAAACTAACTTAAAAATAGTGCGGTAATGGAGTTTTCATCATGCGACCACTTTAAATTAGCAAATCCCTAAGGGCGCTTAAATAGTGTGGGTACCTATATCATATAAATATATATATATATATGTTACGGACAATGCGCACACGGGAAATTTGAATGCATACAAACTATTTTTTGTACAATATTTTCTTCTCAATTTATTAATACTAATAATATTATATAATATCGATGAAAAAACAAAAAAATATGTATAAGTCATAATAATTGTATTAATACCTATTTATTATATTCTGAATACTTTAAAACAATGACGATTCATTTTATTATATTTTATTAATTATAATGAATATTTGAAAACAATTGTAATAATATTATAATTTGTTGATGGCACAACGCCATGAAAAATAATTAAAACAAGTTTTTGTATTGATTGCTTGACATTTTATTATTACCCATTAGTTTATACGTTATTTTACCAGAATGGCACTTACAATTGCACTCAGTCTGCTTTCCTCCACTTACGTTTACTTAGCTTGTAAAGATGCGTAAAAGTGCATCGATCATCCGTCGACATTAGGTAAACAATTATTGTCGTTATTATAATTGTTTTAAACTATTTTCAGAATATCATAAATTGGTAATTATATAAATATAATTAATGTAAAACCATTTTTTTTCATAAATATTATAAAATTTTAGTGATAATAGATAGAACAAAAATACTGAAACAAATAAACAAAGAATAATTTGTTTATATTTGTGTTGAAAATTATACCTACGAAATGTACACATTGCACACAGCATATAATATAATATATACTATATACAATATTACCCCCAAACACTAAACAAAGTATCAAAGCACAAAGTATGTTTTGTAAAAAATTGTATAAGACTCTTTTAAGTCCATTCGTGATAAATTGTTGAGTTCCTATTTTAGGGACTAAAATTGTGAGTAGTACGCCACACTTTGTGTAATACGAAATACTAAGTGTGGAATACGAAATTAAAAAGTATGAAATAGTCTGTAATAACTAGTAACTTTGTTTACAGTTTTTTCTTCATTAATTAAAAAATTATTTGATGTTACATTGGGAAATAGATAGATAAGAATTATAAATATGTATTAATAATAATAATTATTATTATTAGGAGTCGTTTTTACAAGTTTTACTTACATCGATACAATATTTAAAATATTATAAAATAAAAATAAAAATATTTTGAATGATCGATACGTTAAATAATACAAATTATTATCAAACAATAGTTAATGAATGAAGTTGCCTATTTTTTTAAAAGAACCATTAATATAGACGTATGTTGTTGAAAATCGTGATATAAAACAAAATAATATTATTGTTAATGTTTGAAAACTATTTATTATATATTCATTTTTTTAATGATAAGTATTCCTATAAACATTGTGTATATTTGTAATTAAATATTAACCTTGTAGTAATTACACTAATTAGCTTTTAAAAAACATTTGATCAATCAATTTCATCAATTGTGATTGTGAGTAATATTGTAGTCAGGGGATCATTTTTCCTAGAATCGGGGATATTTTCCCCAGGGTTTTTATTTCGCAATTCACTCTCTGTGTATGGTATACTTCAGTGCATTCACTGTAAAAATATGTATTATACCTAATTGATAATCGTATTAATATACCGACATAAATCGTTTCATTGTGATGAAGTATGCACTCTGTAGATAAAGAAAAATAGAAATTGACTACTCTGTGTTTATTATTAAATACACCTTGGGGAGGGGGGGGGGCAAAGCCCTCCAAGGTAACTCAAAGTTTAATGTAAAGTGTGTAGTACGAAAAAAATTAAATTTCAGACTCTGTTCGATTGGATACATGGATCAAAAAGTATGACGGTTGCACAAATGCACGAAATGGGTTTATAAATTATAGCATTACCCGTGTATGCCAAATACAAATATCCATATGATCATATCTGTCATTTAGTTAATTTCAATCTACCGCCATACCTTTTAGCAATTTATGAGTTTTTTTTATAGTTACCTAACCTAGTTAATGTTTTGAAACTAATCTGTTTTTGATTACATTCATACTAATAAAATTGTAAATAAACGATTAATGCATAATACGCCTTGCATAATAATTACTAGTAATAAGTTAAATAGTGTTATGTTATATTATGATTAAAATTGTCTTCTCATTACCTGAGGAAGCTACGCAGACATAATATTTTGTTGTCTAAAAGTCTTACAAGTGCGTAAGTGGGTAACCTATACCAAATTGACTCTCAGCCGATCATATTTAGCTTCGTCAGTTTAAAAATTAAAGTGAATCGATCTATTATGAAACTAGAGTACCTAATCAGAATGGACACTGATGACATTTTACGCAGGCAGCATAGGACAACGGCTTGAGTCAGTCGGCCCTTGACACCTAAGTGTTACAGTAGGGCCAGTTCAACATAACAGTTTTCACCAGTTTTCACAAAAAAAAAAAGTTAAAACCATTTTTTACAATAAACAATCTTCATAATCACGATAACTTAAGAACGTAGTACTTATCATTACTATACTCAGTGTGAACATTGATAAAAAAGTAAAAATGTTCACACTGTTGACCCTAGGTGTCATGGCCGACTGATTCTCTATTATCGGCCCGCCGCCCAAAGGTGTCCACCCCCTGATATTATTAACAGAGCCGTGCCGTGGGGGGGGCCTAGGGGGCATATGCCCCGGGTGCATGGTTTAAAGGGGCGCCAAACATTTTTTTTTTATAATATTTTAAACTTTACATAAATAAAATATATGAGAAAGATTATTGTTTTACAATTATTTTGGACCATTACAAATTTTTTCTGAACAAATTTCTGACTATGTTTGAGGAGTAACAATTAGTCAACCAAACGTTTTATTCTTGTTATATTATTGGCTTTATAATAAATTATTATACGCTGGGCATCTAAATATAATGCAGTTCATTCGTTGTATTGTCAATTTGGCGGTGTGATAAAAACTTTACGTGACATATCTACCAATCCAATTTTTGGCGATGGGGTTGCTAATGCAGAAAGTATATTGAAACAGTTTGATTTGGAATTTGTTTATTTTTTAGTCATGTGGGATAAAATATTGAATCAAATATATCGTGTAAATAAATTATTACAAAGCTCAAATATTTCAATAGATCAGGCTTCAAAAATGATAAATTGTTTAAATGTTTCTCTCCAAGAAATGCGTGATAGTGGAAATGAACAAATTAAAACTGAAGCTATTAGTATTTGTGATAAAGTTGGAATAAAATCTGAATTAAAAATCAAAAGGACAATAAAAAGGAAAGTTATGAGTGGAGAAAATTCATCGGGTGAAGATATTTCTGCAGATCAATTTTTAACATTGGAATACTACAAAGTTCTTGATAATATGATGGCTCAAATGAAATGGAGGTTTGAACAATTATCAAATATTGCTGATGATTTTCAATTCCTTTCTGCTCATTCACTATCTGTTACACCAGTTGAAAAAATGAAAAAATATGCAGCTGATTTAGCTATCAAATACAACGAAGATATTGACCAGGAAATAATTAACGAAATCGAATTTTTTAAATATCAAGTAAAAGCAATTTTACCAGATTTAAACGCAACTGCTTTAAATATTTTAAACGCAATTAAAAAATATGAACTTGATTCAACTTGTCCAAACTTAATGACTGCACATAGATTGTTTCTTACCATGCCTGTTACCGTCGCTTCCGGGGAACGCTCTTTTAGTAAATTGAAACTAACTAAGACGTATTTACGGTCAACCATGTCGCAAAACAGATTAACCAATTCTGCAATATTATCAATTGAGCATGAAATAACAAAAAGCATTGATTTTGAAGACGTCATTGAAGATTTTGCTTCAATAAAGTCCAGAAAAATTAAGTTTTAACTATATGATACGCTCTTATGATACGTTTGTAAATATAACATGTATATATAATATAATTTGTGATTTTTATCATTTTTAATTATTTAATACGGTATAAATTAATAAATTATACCTAACTATTTTGTTTAATAATTACTATTACAATTAACTTTAGTTTTTTGTCAAATTAATGTTCAAAATACGTTGTAAAAAAAAAATTAAATAAAATTAAATAGGAATGAAACGCATTATGATTAATGATAAATAAAATGGGGGGCGAATATTTTTAATTTTGCCCCGGGCGCCAAATCGTAACGGCACGGCTCTGATTATTAATAACAATATGTTCGGAATAATCCATTTTACTCCGTTGTTTTTAATATAAGAATAATGTGACCTCCTATCAAATTTAAATGGATTAAATCAATTACAATTATTTAAGTACCACGTTTTATGTTTTAGTTTTTAAAAAAAATGTATGATAAAAATCACTATAATATATATTTTAAAAGAGAATTAAATTCATAATTCTGAACGTAAAATTTGGTATGTTATATTTTTATAAGACGGAGACAACGCGCGTAGGTACCTACATCGCTCTCGGAACATAATAAATATATATTTTATAATAAGCAATTTAATACTATAATATGCAAAGACTGTGTTTTTACCTTTAGTTTTCACCCCTGCCGTGGTCTAATTACGCCCCTGCACCCCCCCAAGGTGAGTATACGGAGCACAGGCAGACTAATTAATATTGTAGTGCTTGCTTATAAGCCCTGCTCAGCCTAACCATTTTAAAAACTATGCTTTAATTGCATGTCTACCACGAAAAACGTATTAACTCAAGGGGACGTTTATTTGTAATAAGTCGTAAGTCGTAACTATATAATGCAGCAACTATATGCGAAAAACTACAACTAAAATTAATCACTAGTTTATTATCATTTTGCCATTATTAAAGTTTTTTTTCTTAGATATATATATATACGATATACCTACTTACCTCTGTTAATTTATTACGCTGATTATAGTTTATTTTCCACCAAGCTATATAACTTAAACATTGACTACGTGGCGTCGTCTATGGCCACTTTCATTTCAGTGTGTAGTGTATACTAGTGTGTACTATATAATATATACGCTGATGAATAATAATATATTATATTATAATTGTTTGTCTACGTGGTATGAACCATACAGATAATATTATAAAATCAGATGATACCTGTCCAAGAATGTAAACAAATGTTATGCGGAATTTCATATTTCATAAGCAGCTGCAGTGTTCTACAGCATAAACAAAAATAATCTATTCTTTGAATTTTTTTTAAAATTTGTGTTTGTATATTTTATAATACGTTTGATATTATACACATAAGTTATCTGTAATTTGAGTCGGAACCCGTTCTTGTTATAAAAACGATATTGCATAAAATATAAAACTGAGGTACCTCTGATATCTACTATTAAAATTATGTTGATAAATACACAACTTATAGGCAATGTTTTGTAAGTACAAGTTATATATATATATGCTTATCCTACCTCCGAGATATACCAATCCAAATTTGTAACATTTGATTTTAGAGACTTATGTCGTATGTGGCAAGGGCAGCATCCGAATTTGGATTGTTAGGTTCTAAATTGGAGGATGGCTGTGTTATAGGGGTTTCTTAATACGGTTCACCGTACACTATAGTTAGATTCAAACTTTTATGGGCAACGCAATATAATATTTTCTCATCTATTTCTACAGAATTAGAACTATCTGTAGTCTGTAGTCTAATTAAACACTGGTTAAACATGTTTTGATTCTCTAGATATATTTACAATACTCGTATTAAAATAAAAATAAATGTGGGAAAATCATTTTTTTTAACTGTAAAAATATTTTATATTTTGATAAGAATGTAATTTATGCGTTTAAGACATAATAATATGACTAATCATTTATAGTATCTACTCCCAATGTGTATATGTGGACGAAACTTTAGTGTAGAACCAAATCAACACGAAACTCCGCCAAAGTGTACCGGCACCTTTAAATTTTAATAACGTCTTGAGTCCAACTATGGAGTATATAATTTAATTCTCGGGGACCAAACAATATAGTATCGTCTTAATACGTACTGCAATAGTACCTATATAATAGTTCTACAACAGTTTTAGTAACCACTTACCATATTATTTATACAGCGTGCGACTAATAGCGTTCGGTTGGAAGCATTTTTTTAAAATCTTTATCCGTCCACCATTATATATAATATACAATAATAATATCATGTCCCACTTTATAAAGAACAGAATATTATATTGGTATTCGTGTCACACGACCAATATTCGGTATTCGGATCGATATTTTTGCTCGTTTACTATAATACTAGACATGCACCTATATACATTAATAATAATAATATGATATTTAAACCACTGTACGGAGGTTGTAAATTATACATTTTTGTCGTTATCCGTGGCTTGACGATGACTGGGGATGAAAAAACCGAGGGGTGCATCTACATCCAGCCGGCATGTTGTTGCGCCGACCGGACGGATCGACAGACCTCATGACAGACAGCGGTTGTGAACGATCTCGGCATCATTTTTCGATGCATACTTACGCGTATAATACTTTTAAAGGAATTTTTTTTTATCCTACGCCGATCGTGCAGACGAGCTGAGCCGACGAACAAAACGTGACAAAACAGCTGGATGACTGTCGACTATACATAATAAAAGCCTTATGATGATTAACTGCACTCTCATACGGAAGAGGATTTACCGCACACAAGCTGGGAGTCTTTGTAAGATTTTCCACATCCAGTACGCTCTATTTTATTTTAACATTATCTCAAAAAAAAAAAATTGTTCAAGTGAGCAATTATTTTTAACTTCAAAATATATTATACTATCTTATTTGTTAACAAATTGTATTTTAAATGATTATCAAATCTACGAAAAATTAACAACGTTTTTCTGACCTTAGTTTTGAAAATTTTATTTTGTTCTATGCAAAACTTAACGAAAAAACCCGATAGCCTAACAAATTTCGGTTAAAGACCAAAAAGTTCTACAGATTATAGAACTTTTGGTTGTTTATATTATATTTTTTCACTTAGTTAGAACTTATTTGTTTTGAATTTAATCCACAGGAGGGAATTCAGACAAAATAAGACGAGCCAGTAATGTTAAAACCAAAATAATACTATAGTACATTTATTTTATGGCACTGATACTATTTTGTGGATAAATATACGATAGTATTAATAATATTGTAGGTACTTTATTTGATTATTGAATGGTTGACCAAGTTGAAATATTACGTTTTGGTTATACCTAATTTATTTAACCATGTAGATAGAATAGGCACCTATTGGTTTTAATTGTTAACACTATAATAGTCAAAAGCTGAAATGTTCTATATAGCTAATGAAGTAATATTCACATATTAAACTCGGTTTGTATTCTCATTTGTTTTGGTTTTGGTTAGGTGCCACCGCCGGCAAAAAAAAAATTCTTTACTGGCCATATAAGAATACAAATATTTCCGGGTCATCTAATGTTAAACAAAGCTAATTACATTCGTGTTGTTATTATAGTTATTAATGAAATGTATATTAGTATCGGTATAAAGAAAGAAATTCGAATAGTGAAAAATATAAATCGCACTACTTGTTGGAGAGCTAAGACACATAGTATCACACAAAATATTAATGTGCCAGGTTTATACAGTGTGCTTTTATGTAGGTATATAATATTATACAGAGTGAAAACTCGATTTTAAATGCAGCGGTCGAATACGACGACGACGAATAAAGAGACAGTAGTTCCCCAGAGAGACAGACTATATATATTATATCGTATATATATAAATAGTTTGATAGTCGAAACGAAGACGAAGACAACGACGACGACGATGGTATAATATAAAATGAAGAAAAAGAAAAAAAATATCGTGTACACATAAAACAATGAAAATTAGCCATTCGGAAAACGTAGCGGGCGACAGACAGTATAGCGTGTAAAAGAATACATTATATAAAAATAGATTATTGTGTAAAAAATTTTTTTTGTGTGTTTCGTTTTACTCTCGCCCTACAAACTCGATTATAAAATCGAATTGGCTTGTTACATCGGGGCACACGTGAATAATACACAAACATAATATTATATATTATTGATATAACTTCAGAATTATATTAAATATAATACGATAAGAGAAGACCACTTCCACTCACTGTAAACCAGTCGCGGTACCATCCTTTCAGTCAAACTTTTAACGACCAAATATCATACCCACGTTAAAGACGAATGGAAAGAAACGATGTACGACATCCTGTCCGAATCCTTCAACCAGTGCAAGTCACATCGATTATATTATTCACAAAGATATCCAATTTAATAAAAATTCATACAATTTAAAATCCAGTGGTTTTATATGCCAAGAATTGTATCTAATAAAAATAATATTATATTATACATTAGAAAAGTAGTCGTTTTTTCGACATTTTTAGAGATTGTCAATCTGCACAATATTGTACGATAAAACCGTTTTTAGATTTTTAAAAGACAAAAGTATAATATTTTAATCAACTTTTGGAAGCAATGCTATAGGTATGCAACTGGTGATTTCCACCTCGCGATGTAAATTTTTGAGAAGCTGGCCACTCCATGGAAAATTGAATGTACATACATTTATGTACTTATGTAGGTATATTGATTATCGGCCGGTGTTGAGTATTCAGTCGTTTGGATTCAATCAGTCGATCGTATATTTCATTATATTATCATGAGATACTGAAAAATAAAACCAATGATGTAGCTAAATTGCCTATACAATACGCCGTGTCACCATATTAACATTTTATATATTTTTATCATCAAAGAGCATAAAAATACAAACGTCCTATAAGATCTCTGAAAAATAGGCCTAGTTACATATAGTACGAACACCAGGATATCGTTGTCAAAGGCATGCATCGAGTACAACCATATAGATTCTCTTGGATTTTGCAAAAAAT